CATCGTCATCGTCGTGTGGCAAGTGGCTGCCTGCCTGCTTGACTGCAGTTGCAGTTGCTTTGGCCTCGGCCTTAAGCTCGGCTTCATCTGTGCCTGATCTTCAGCTTCTCTTAGAAGCCAGGGCCAGCAGCCGCCTCCTTCGCTCCTACTGGGTCTGCTTAGCCTTCTTCTTCATATTTGTATACCCTTGCAGGGTATTATAATTTTAGTCAAAAGTGTGTTACATAGTGAAGGAGTCATTTCCGACCCTATAAATCATATACAATCGTGGACATAAGTATTTTGACACAGATTATGGCTATATTACAGCGCGTGTCTCTTTGTACTCGTAAAAGTTACGGGATCCATTTCACTTTCCAGTAAGAGATTATATTTAAATCTTTAATAGAGCAAAAGATGTTACTGATAAGTAAATTAACTTCTTTGCTATGTCCCGTGATGTGAGAGATCATGCATTTTTGGGTGGACAAAAATATTTTGACATTGCATTCAATCAGTTCTCATTTGTTTCGTGCGCATTAAAGGACGTTGTTTGATATTTATAACTCCAGCTTATAAATCTTTTAGCAGCTTTAATACATTATTTGCCAATTTTCCTAATTTCTGTACCGTTATTTAATGAAAATATGGGTAAAACACGGGAGCTAAGCCAAATCCAGCAAAACAAAATAGTAATTAAGTACCAAGCAGGTATTTCGGTCCAGAACCTCAGCATATTTTATAAAGTACCCCGTCAAACAAAATTAACAAACATAAACTGACAAATTCGACGAATAATTTAGTCAGAAAAGGACGACCATGCAAAACTACGCCTAGACAAGAACGTCTAATCTTTGCAAAATTTAAAGAACATGTCCTTATTAAACCAAACGAAGTTTCAATGGAAGTTAAAAACGATTATGATATTTTAATTAGTAAAAAAACAGTTGAAATATTATTTAAAGAGGCTAACTTTGCTACTTTGTGGCCCGTCAGATACCTTTCATTTCACCTAAAAATGAGTTGAAACGATTAGCCGATTAGGCCGCACTTTCTTGCGAATATTTTTTGGTAATCTGCAGTAAATTTCTTTGTTTTAACCATGGTACTCAAAAGGACTCTCATCGGTCCACAAAATTTGTTCCCAAAAGGATTTAGGCATGTTTAAAATTATTTGGCAAAGGCTAATCGTTTCAACTCATTTTCAGGTGAAATGAAAGGTATCTGACGGGCCACAATGTAGCAAAGTTAGCCTCTTTAAATAATATTTCAACTGTTTTTTTACTAATTAAAATATCATAATCGTTTTTAACTTCCATTGAAACTTCGTTTGGTTTAATAAGGACATGTTCTTTAAATTTTGCAAAGATTAGACGTTCTTGTCTAGGCGTAGTTTTGCATGGTCGTCCTTTTCTGACTAAATTATTCGTCGAATTTGTCAGTTTATGTTTGTTAATTTTGTTTGACGGGGTATTTTATAAAATATGCTAAGGTTCTGGACCGAAATACCTAGGTGGTACTTAATTACTATTTTGTTTTGCCGGATTTGGCTTAGCTGCCTTGCTTTACCCATATTTTCATTAAATAACGGTACAGAAATTAGGAAAATTTACAAAAAATATAATAAAGCTGCTAAAAAATGTATGAGCTGGAGTTATAAATAATAACAAACTGTATTTTATGCACACGAAACAAATGAGAGCTAATTGAATGCAATGTCAAAATATTTTTGTCCACCCAAAAATGCATGATCTCTCACATCACGTGACATAGCAAAGAAGTTAATTAACTTATCAGTGTCATATTTTGCTCTCTTAAAGTTTTAAATAGAATCTCTTACTGGAAAGTGAAATGGATCCCGTAACTTTTACGAGTACCAAGATACACGCACTGGAATATAGCTATAAGCTGTGTCAAAATACTTATGTCCACGATTGTATATTCTGGATCAGCACAAAGAGCAGAGTCAATCTAGCCATGTTTAGGAGAAAACAAATTAAAATTTTTTTTTTTTGAATTTGTGAGGTCCTAAAATTGTTGAAGTTGTCAAATAAAAATTGGAAAAAATTTCAATTTCTTAAAATGTGAAATTTAGTATGCAGTTTCGTTATCATATAAAAAACTAGCACAGAAAAGCTTTCCGAATTAAATTTGATGCTTTTTTGGCTTAGATATGACTTTTTTTATAAAAAAAATTACCATTTAAATATAAAAATATTCATTTAAAGAGTGTGAATATTTTAGCTCTTTTTGAGGTGTTTTATGATTTTAGTCAGCGAAGGAGTCGTTTCCGACCCCATAAATCATATATATTCTTGATCAGCCCAAGAAGCGGAGTCGATCTAGCCATGTTTAGGAGAAAACAAATTAAAAATTTTTTTTTTTTTAATTTTTGAGGTCCTAAAATTGTTGAAGTTGTCAAATAAAAATTGGAAAAATTTCAATTTTTTTAAATTTGAAATTTAGTATGCAATTTTGTTACCCTAGAAAAAACTAGCACAGAAAAGCTTTCCGAATTGAATTTGATTCTTTTTTGGCTTAGATATGCCTTTTTTTATATAAAAAAATACCATTTCAAATATATAAAAATATTAATTTAAAGAGTGTGAATATTTTAGCTCTTCTTGAGGTGTTTTATGATTTTAGTCAGCGAAGGAGTCGTTTCCGACCCCATAAATCATATATATTCTTGATCAGCCCAAGAAGCGGAGTCGATCTAGCCATGTTTAGGAGAAAACAAATTATAAAATTTTTTTTTTAATTTTTGAGGTCCTAAAATTGTTGAAGTTGTCAAATAAAAATTGGAAAAAATTTCAATTTTTTTAAATTTGAAATTTAGTATGCAGTTTTGTTACCCTAGAAAAAACTAGCACAGAAAAGCTTTCCGAATTGAATTTGATGCTTTTTTGGCTTAGTTATGATCGGTTTTTGATTGAATGACAGATCCTATGGCAAACAGAAAGGGTATACAAATTTCGGCATCCCGAATTTAGTTTCCTTTCTTGTTTTCTATCTGTTTTTGTTTTTTAGGGGCATCATCTTGGCGGCTTTGGCGCTGGTGTCAAACGTTTTGTAATCTGTCACGTCGCATCGTTTTAATATTTGTGCGCTCATGGCCCCAAGTACGAGGAAATGCACTCGGCTGCGTGTAAAAATAGGCGTAACCCTTTGGTATTTATGGTCTGGGCCGACTCGACTGTCTTTTCACGGTCTCCGGAGACTGTAGACTGCAGACTGAAGACTGCACTGGAGCACAGTGAAGCATCCGCAACGGCGCTCCCCGAAGTTGGTTTTATTTGGTTTTCAGAAACGGATGCAGTGCCGCGGGGTAACATGGTTACTGTTCTGCAACAGGTTCAAGTGTCTTAGTCTGGTCTCGTTCCAGCTCTTAGCTCCTTGCGTTTTCCCACTATTTGATTATCTAAATCATTATTAGTTTGACCTTCAGCCCCAGGGGCTGGGATCGGCACAAGGCATTGTGAGCTCGTGTGCAAGTGCCTTTCCTTCTTATCTTATTAATTATTTGCTCTTTATTGTACGATGGCTGTGGCCAGGGGACTACTGTGCGTATGAGTCATCTGAGTAAGGGAGATCTGAGTAGGGAAAACATGGGAATATGCGGGAAATGGGGGTCAGGAAAATGCTGGTAAATGGGAGAGTGGAAAGATACTAAATTGGGATATTTTTTATCCTTTTTTTTATTTTTTCAATAAACTAAGAGCTATTTTTTTACTGACTTCTAATTTTATAAAAAACTTAATAAAATACTTCACAATTAATATTCCAGAACTACCTCAAAAGAGACTCCCCTTGAAACGAATGCCCTGAAATCCACAAAACCCATAATTAAAAGCCAAACTGACAGCTGACAACCTTGTTTTCCTGGTTTCTTCCTGAAGATTCTTAACCCTCGTTACCGTTATAATTAGCCAAAACTAATTACCCTTTTAAGCGAAGACCACCCGACCATTGATCCACTAAAAGCGGAGATCACTCCCGGCCCCATAACCTACCATTCAAAATCACAGCTCCCACCATTCAGCACGCATCTCAGCGCGTAATTTGCCAAACCCTACTCAAGACGCCTCCGAAAGATACAGTAGTTAGTGGATACGATGGCTGACAACCGCTAATCAGGCGTCACAAATCAAGAGAGAGAGCAAGACTGAGGATTTCCCCAGGCACTCTGATTGGATGGAACCAAAAGGGAACTCCTATATTTAGATAGAGAGAAAATGGCGCTGCTCGTGGCAACGTTTCTGGGATTATTGGGATTTTCCATTCCACTCGCTGGCTGCGTGCCACAGCTTCCCATGACTTTGGCTCCTTTGTCTCTGCGCGAAAATATTGACACGATCCGGATCGAAATTTTGCACGCTCATGAGAATGGATAAGCTAAATACCATAACCATAATAACCATACTCCCGTCACATTATTAAAGTGCCGCTAAAGTGCCCCAATTGCCGCCGAGGATGCTCTGCGTGGGTGTACTTACTGCGTAGTGTTAATTGCCCCAGACTCAATCAGGTGGAATGGAATGGAATATTTATAAGGTTGGGCAATCAATAACCATTTAGACAAAGTCCGAAAAAAAATCCCTACATTCATATTCATGTGAAAAGATTGTGTTAATTGGGCTTCGAGACTGCGAAAAGAACTGGACAAAGGCGGAAGTGATCGTGACCGACGAGAAATTGTATCGAAACGGATATAAATGATCGTGTGGGAATTGTAACTTTTGTTTATTGGGTAAATGAAACTATACAAAATGGTAGTAAATGTATGAATGAAAAATGGTTAAAGTTACTATGGCAACGATTGATAGTTAAGCCTCATAAATATTTGTAAAATATATTAGGAAATACTTATAAAACATTTATATATATCTTAGATTCTTTGGTAATTTAAATAATATTTTCTATCTACTATTCAAGATTGTTCTTCCCAGTTTCACCTCTAAAATTTCTTTCACAGATTCATTCTCATTCTCATAACTATCTCATCCTCGTCTTTCTTTCAGATGATCCTTCAACCATCTGGCAAACTTCAGCTGCTTCTACTATTCATCATACTTTCTTTCTTTAAAATACAAGCTCTTAATAATATTTTAAGTGAGCTAAACAAACGTTTACTAATCTCCACAACATTTTTATACTCTAACGAAACCGATAAGCTAAAAAATTATGAAGTAACATATCTAAGAGATATGCCGCTTATGAATCTGATGATCTTAACCGAAACCTTTAACTCCACTCAACTTCAATATAATTTGGGAGCCACCAACAAACTCTTTGTGATTTTAGGAAACGAAGAGCCGCCTTATGAAGTATTTAAGATCTTGGATTTACAATTTCAACTAGCGGAATATGTGATAATCATAGAGAAACCTGTAGATATAATAAAAGAAACCAAGTGGCTGGACTTTGTGAGGCATTTGTGGCAAGAAGGTTATGTGCACTTGCTGTTTTATAACACCTACAATAAGAGATTATATCACAAAATTATATTTCCCGAATTGAGAATACAAGAAACTGTAATAGAAAACTATATAAACTTTAGAGGAACTTTCCAGAACCTTTATGGCTACCCCGTAAGAGTGGCTGCCTATAATAATGCTCCTCGCACTCTGATTTATATGAATAATAAGGGTGAACAGATATTTGCTGGTTTCTATATGAGATTTGTAAAAGCTTTCTTAGAAGCCAGAAATGCCAGCTTTGTTCCTATACTCACGCCCAGCAATTCTCCTGGAAATTGTACCCTAGCTCTCCAAAATGAGAGGGTAGATCTGTGTGCCGATGCCTTGGCAGCAAATCCTTCAGCCTTTAGCTTGACCCATGGCTTCAGAATGGCCACAGCCAATGTCCTGGTGACACATGCCAAGCCATTGCATTCCTATCGCTACCTAACAGCTCCCTTCCAGCTGAGTGTGTGGCTCTGCCTGGCCACCTATGTGAGCCTGGTGGTGAGCTTTCTCAGTTTGATTCACTATCTGAACAGTGGAGAATGGGACATTAGCAGGCATCTCCTAGAAGTTTTTAGTTCCCTTTTGTACAGTGGTTTTCACCTGAAGAGGTTGCCAGGAAAAGCTCGTTATATACTATATTTTGTGCTCTTCATAGCTGGTTTTGTGTACTCCACCGAGTATTTGGGTCTCCTGAAGAGCCTGTTGATCTCCGAGGTTTACGAGAAGCAAATCAATAGCTTTGAGGCTTTGGTGGAGAGCAATATTACACTCCTAATGGATCCCTATGATAAAATCTTATTCGCCAAGTACAATATGCCGGAGATACTTTGGTCCATCGTGGAGACTGTGTCCTTTGAGACTCTGCTAGAGCACAGGAATCGCTTCGATCAAGACTACGCTTACATACTCTTCACGGATCGCAGGGCTCTGTATGATTATGCCCAGCAGTTCTTGAAGCATTCCAAGCTGCTTCGTATACCCATTGACTTTGGTTTCCTTTACTCCGGAATTCCCATGCGGAAGCGTTGGTTCCTCAAGCAGCATCTGGACCGCGCCTGGTTCTGGGCCTTCGAGAGTGGTCTTACCAGGAAACTGGCCTTGGATGCCGACTACGAGGCGGTGCGCGTGGGCTACTTGGATTTTCTCATCACGGAGCACTTGGAGGCACAGCCTTTGGGTTTGGATTATTTCGTCATGCCAGCGATTGCTCTGGGTCTGGGCTACAGCCTGGCTCTGGTTAGTTTTGTCATCGAGATGACGGCCTGGCGCATAAGCGGATTCCAGGGCTCCAAGAGGAGGAAGCAGGTGCTCAGGGAGGGGAGTGCGGAGATGGGAATGAGTTCAGGAGACGGTGATGTTGATGTTGATTGAGTGACGGATTGATGTATTTTTTTTTAAGGTTTTTTCACATTCTTGATGGCGTGAAGTTTTTGCAAGTGGAAAAGAGTCCTTGGGGTATGGGAAGCTAAGGGATTTTTGGCTTGTATTAGCTTGGGAAAAAATTTGTTTTAATTTCAATGAGATTTTTTAATGTAAAATTAATTAATTAATTAAAAGAATTAATAAATGATATACGTTTATAAAATATTAGTCTTTATAAAATCTAATATTTAATTCAAAGCACCACTCTACGTTAATGCTTGTTTTTAAATTTAAATTATTTAAATAAATAGAAAATGGAAAAAAAATCATAGTTGTTTATTTCTGGTGGAACTAAAATGTCATACAATATTTATATATTATAAAATATATTTTATAATATATAAATATTTTATGATATTAAATTAATTATAGGTAAGAAAAATTATGTTTACCATATGTTTAGCTTAAAATAAAAATGATCTTAGGTATCTTCGATTTTCTTATATATTTGAAAGCGCACAAAGTTTTTTTGTAACTATAAAATTTAAATATTACAAAAAATTATTACCTAAAATATACAAAAATTAGTTCTTTTAACAATTTAACAATTTATTATCTTTCAGATGCTGTTCAAACCGACTTTTTTAACATCCCTACTAATCATGATGTTCCCAATAATGATCACAATATCAAATACCTTGCCGCAAATAGTTAACGAACTTAATGAACGCCTTCGCTTCTCCACCAATATTATTTTCTGCGAACAAATAGATATTCTAAACAATCACATAAACAATTTCCATTACCATATGAAACCCATAACAAGAATACTCTATACCGACACAGAATTCCTAAATTCCACAAATTTAGGAAACCAAATGGGAGAAGAAAAAAAACTCTTTGTGATCATAGGAAATAATCCGCCATATACTCTCATAGAAAAACTGGAATTACGCTTTCAACTAGCTGATTTTCTTTTAGTAATCGACAATGCCCTCAACGATGATGTATGGAAGCCCTTTATAGACTACGCTTGGCGACTGGGATACATAAAGCTATTGATTCACTCCACTTACAGTGGTCTTTCCTACGACAAGCTGATATTTCCGAAGCTCAGAATAAAAGAAACTACTGTCCAGGGCTATGCTGGGTTTCAGGACAGCTTTGGCAATATCCATGGCTACAAGGTTCGAGTGGCGGCCTATAATAATGTGCCCCGAAGTCTTATATATACAGATTCGCAGGGCAAAAAGATATATGCTGGTTACTATATGCGATTTGCACAGGCTTTTTTGGCCTATCGAAATGCCACTTTTCAGCCTATACACACGGCAAATGATTCTCCACAAAATTGCACTCATGCTTTGCTGATTAACTCGGTGGATATTTGTGCAGATGCCTTGGTGAGGAATCCCGAAGTTTTCACCGTTTCCCAGGCTTTCAGGATAGCTCCAGCCAGAGTTGTGGTGGCTCATGCCAAGCCGCTATTATCCTTTCGTTACTTGACGGCTCCCTTCAAGACCAAAGTCTGGTTATGCCTGGTGATGTATATTGTTATAATAGCTGGATTCCTTAATCTGATTCACTGGCTTAAAGCCAAGAAATGTGACTTTAGTCAGACTCTACTGGAAGTCTTTAGTTCTCTGCTGTACAGTGGCTTTCACCTGAAAAACATCTACGGCAGGGAGAGATATATCCTCTTTGGCATACTTTTTATTTCAGGCTTTATCTACTCCACCATGTACTTGGGTTTGCTCAAGAGCATGCTCATCTCGGGGGTTTTTGAGAAGCAAATTGAAAGCTTTGAGGAATTGGTCGAAAGGAATATATCCCTCATGATAGATGCCTACGACCGGGCCTTGTTTATGAAGCATCACTTTCCTAAGGTCCTTTGGCCAGTGGTTAGGACAGTGCCCTCAGAGGTTCTCCTACAACATCGCAATAACTTTGACCAGGACTATGCCTATGTATTATTTCCGGATCGCTTGGATATGTTCGAGTATGTCCAGCAGTTCTTGAGGCATCCCAAGTTTCGTCGCATTCCCGTGGACTTTTGTTTTCTGTTTGCCGGTTTTCCCATGAGCAAAAAGTGGTTCCTGAAACAGCATTTGAGTAGAGCCTGGTATCATGGCTTCGAGAGTGGTCTGGTAAATAAGATGGCCGTGGATGCCCACTGGGAGGTGGTGTCCCAGGGATACCTAAACTTTTCCATCACCGAGCACCAGGAAGCGAAGCCTCTTGGTTTGGATTATTTTGTAATGCCAGCGATTTCATTGGGTTTGGGTTTTTCATTGGCTTTATTGAGTTTTGGTTTGGAATTGGTGATTGGTAAAGTGTGCAAATATCAAAGATAGATGCTTAATAAAAATAATGGAATATATTTTATAGATTTAAATTTAATTGAAAGTTTTTTTTTCGTATTTATAAGAAATTGTTGTGATGCTTTTTGTAATGTATACCTATTATCGTTGTAGCTCAAAGAACAATAAAGTTAAAAGTCATAAAATATATTATATTATTTTGGATGGTTCTAAAAATATGTAGAAAAATGTTATGTATTGGAAATATCGTAATTTTTGATTTATCAACATTTTATACGTAGTAAGCGTAGGCGGCTTTGAAATTAGGAATTTTTCAGATATATTTTTACCAGAATATTGATTTATACATATATTTTTTTAAAAGGAAATCTATTTTATAATATAAAAACTATTTTAACAAAAACCTACAAGAAAAAATATTAAAAAAACCGTAAAATCTCATTTCAAAGCACCCAAAAAAAATCCCCCCAGGTAATCCCAAGCTCTCAAATTTTTTTATGGTAACGCCTTATCTTACAAATTTTTCAATGCAGCTTCGGGCAGTATCCAAAAAAATAAATATAAAAAAATAAAAACCCACCCACAGGCAACACCCCATAAAAGCCAGAGTGGAAACCACCCTTTGGCCCTTTCGGACCCCTTCAAAATAAATAGCACTTGAGATATTTCCAAAACATTTGCCAGCCAAGTCTCTAAGCAATTTGCCCGGCCCATTGTATGCAGTCCGAATGATAACAGAAAAATAAGAATCCCAAGACTGGGCACCAAGGGTAGACTGGAGCTCAGCTGCTGACTTGCACAAATATTTGCCGAAAATTGTGAATTTTTTTTGACGGGGGAGAAAATCCTGAGTGGGTGGTTCGTGGATTTCCTTCAGTGCAGCACATTTTAAAGTTCGTTGACACTCGACGATGCCTGGCACATTTTTCGTGTTTTGGCTCTGTGGCGCCATTAAGTATGCAGCAGTAATGTGGCGACAATAAAGTTTATGCAGCGGCGCCATGGGAATAAAAAAAATGGAAAAGAATTTCCAAAAATGCCAAGGATAAATATATGACCATGCATTTAGTGGGAGTTTGCAACTGCTGATAGGTCGGACGATCTGGAACATCTTAGGAGAAAATATCTTTAAAAAAAAACGGTTTTAACTTGCAGAGTAAAGTTAAGTTTTTATGATTTAAAAGTACAAGAAAATGTCCAGTTAAAATATTTTTAGTTTATAATTTTCGGATTAAATCTTTAACGATTTAAAAATACAAGAAAGGAATCTGAAAACCGAAATATTTTATTTTTATAATATATATTTATAGAAAATAATATAATTATTTATTTAATTATAATTAGAGCTTTTTAAATTTACTTATTTTTTCCTTATTACTTATTTTCTCTGCGTGTGGCACACATTTAACACAATGCAGTTGCCCAACCATTTCCCAGTATCCCAATTTTTGTTTTTTTAAGGACCTCCCTTAATGAGTGGGAGGAGATCCAAAGTGTGCGTGCCTCGCAACCATATAGCAAAAGAAAAAAAATCGACAAAATCAACCAATAAACTCTCGCCCTTCAGCCGCTTTAATTGCCCGGCAATGGTGTATTTTCAACGCGTTTCGATTCGAATCGAAACTGAATCGATTTCGCTGGGCACGATTCTTGATTCCTGATTGTCTTCCGATTCGTATCGTCTTTAAAGTAAACATTTGTTTTTATCTGGGGGCGGCTTTTAATTAAGATTGCGTACGGGCGATAAATGGCAAGTGTTTTCCCTGAGAGAACTGCGTTTCAATTGAGGGTTGAGCCAGGAACATGGCCTTAATCGACCTGCATTTCAACATAACGATTTTATTGGTTTTAACGGTAATGGTCCTTATAGCAGATGTATGAAATGTTTTTTTTTTTCTAAAAAATCTCTAAAGGACAAAAGGTATTATTATTATTATTAAATATATATTACATTTTTCCAGAAATATTTACAGGATATTTTCTAAACTATGTAGATTTAGATCCTCGACTTCACCTATTTCCCACTAATTTCTCATTTTCCCCAGCTTTTTCCCACTTCTATATAAAACTCCCCCTTTTCTCCTCCTCAGCTCCTGTCTGCTCCTGATCCGTCAACCCATTCAGTTTTTTATCAGCCAGACAGAACAAGCGACACCGTAAATCACCTGCGAAGAGCGAACAAAAGGCCGTGACAAACAATTGAGAGCCACGGAATGGTCTGCCATTGATATCAGTATCTGATTGACTCGATGGATTTCCTCTTCCTTTTTTCACCTTTTTCCCGCTTTGTGTCTGTAGCAGGGGCTAATTGAAATGGCCACGTTATTCTTTCCGTTTTTTTTTTTCATTCGTTTTTTCTGGCTTTGCAAAAGTTAAACACTATTATTTAAATCAATGCCTCGCTTACCTTATTTTTTTGCGCACGCCGCCTCGCTTCGCCACATATGAGTTGGCAATTTATGGGCCATGGCTAATTGTCCGCAGCGAACTTCAAAGAGTGGCCTGTCCTGGCCATGGCCAGAACTTGCTCCTCGCGATGATCACGCCGTGGAATGCAATTATCGCGCTCCAAGTTATGCTAAGATAAATGGGTGCTCCCAGGCTGGAAATTGGCAACACTTTCCTTCTTCGAAGTCGTCGTCGAAGTCCTCTTTTTTGTGGTCATAAACTAAATAAAAAAGAAGGCAACAACATAAGAAAAAACTCTCACAGAAAAGAGATAAACCGCACGCAACTGACAATTGGCAATTTTTGGTTAATTCAGGCAATTTATGGAGGCCAAAAGAGGGGGGCCATGGGGAGTGTGTCACTGGCGGCGTGACCAAAAGACCCATATAATAATGATCAGGAGGACATGAAACCCCCCACAGAGAAAGAGAGATGGAAAGAATGTTTATTTTTAGATTTTAGAGAGAGAAAAGATTTAGAAAAATATAAGTTAATCATTCTTCACACAAATATATAAGTAAAATAATTTAAATTAAATTTATGACCAATAAATAATGGAGAGAAAGGTAAAAATAGGTTTTTTTTCATTTTAGACCAAAAAAATAATAATATTAATTAAATAATTCTGAGCAATTTGCTTCTCTACATATTAAATTCTTTGAAAACTTTAAATTTGTAACCTAAAAAATAAAAATAATAATTTTTAAAGCCAAAAACCTTAATTATTTCCAAAATCTTCTTCTTGCCAACTTGATCTTCCTTTTTCCCAATATTAAACATTTCCAAGAATATATAAAAACTTAATCAAATAAAGATCTACCTGACATACAACCCCTTGCCACATTTAATGCCACTTTCCCCGTTTTTTGTTGGCCATATCTGTGGTGCTTGTCTTTGGGTCACTCGTCAGTTGCTAAAAATAAAGAGTGAATAAAGGAAGCCAGGCCAGGCCAAGGAAGGAAGGCCCAAACGCTGTCCAATTAAGCGCAACAAACAACTTTACGCCACATGCCACACACACCACATACAAACACACACGACAGGCGTTTATCGGGCAGTCAGATCAGAGATCCCGGCCAATTCGATCGATCCTTCGTTCCAGCCTTTTTGTAATGGCCAACGATTTGTCGCTGTCCATGCCTCTCGGACCCGGGGGCCATAATGACAATCGTTGATCGTGCGGTTGCGATAAGATGGCACAAAGATAAAGCGCCGATATCGGAACCCGAGGGGTCTGGTCTGCATTGACCACGATGGGCGGAGGCGACAGCAGCAGCAGGAGCATCTCAGCATTTATGCTAATAAGTTGACATTTGACCACCATGACGAAATAATGAAACGATCAGGAGCCGCCTCAAAAGAGTGACAGGTACTGGGAGAAAAGACAGGGGTATTTACTGTGGTTTAAAAGGTGAAATTTTAAAGCAAATTAGTTGAATTCTTTATGAAATAGCTTGTATTTATTTTGCTTTAATTTGTACATTTAATTTTATAGGAATATAAAAACATAATTTTCAATTTTACAGGGTTTTTATAACAAATTTCCATTATTTCCTTGAATTTAATTAAATTTTAAATCAATAAACCTATAAATCTATATATAAATGATCTAAACTCCTCCCAAGTACTCTCAAGTTATTAATTTGATGATGACCATGATTTATAATTTAAAATATTTTAAATATAATAAAATTCACCAAAACGAATTCTGCTACTTTTTACTCAACCCCACCCCACTGTCTGTATTATATATTTTTTTTTTCGCCATTCTGACATTTGTTTTTGACACTGTCCTCTGCCAGAACCCCTGGGCACCGCTGGTCACCTTGCGAATTTCCCGGAATTTTCACGCGCTCTCCTCTCGCTGCTTATCGGAGATGCAGCATCTTCACACGATCTGAGCCGACGGCTTGTTAACTACCATTACTACCATTATGTGATCACTCGATCGTGTTGCAAATGAATTTTAATTGTTGTTCCCCTTGTTGCACTTTAATTAGCCATAATTTACAAATTGGCCAAAACTGTCATTGCGTTATTTATTACAAATTACATGCTTGTTTGGGTTTGTCAAGGAGTTAATACCTAGCAGCTACTCTACATCGCTATCGCGATGCCGGCGGCTTCTGTGGCTTCGTCTTCTCTCATCTCGATGGTGGTTTTGATAGTAGTTTTGATCATAGCCTCTTGATCGGTTGTCTTGACGCTCTTCGCGATCCTGTTGCCAATTTGAGCCGTCATAATGATAATGATGATCTTCTCTGGGATAATTATCTCTTTTGTAGTCCTGCCATCTGTGGGAGCTGTGAGCACTGTGGCTTCTATCGTATCGCTGGTGGTTTTGGTAAGGCGAACGATTGTCTCTGTGGTAGTTCGACTCCCTTTGGTAGCCATTAGAGCGGAAATATGGTTTTGGTGTTTGGGTTCGCCAGTTTTGATAAGATTTCCGGTAATTGTGATTCTGATCTACTAAAAACGAAGCATACAAAATGGTTCTTTGAGTTACACTAATGAGAAAGGGCAGTAAATAGATTATTTACAAGGAATTTAATCAAATGTTAATCAATGTTCACATTTTATTTAGTAACTTACTGCGATTGTATTTGTTCTGATAGCCTTCATGTCTCTGGTAATCCCGCTGCCATCTATCTCCAGATTCTTTTCTATATGATGATCTTTGCTTGGAATCACTTTTGCCACTGCCATCGCTTTCTATGCTGGATTGCTTTTCGTCTTTTTGTGTGAGGTCTTTCAGAGAACTCATGTAGTTCTGACGCTCAATCTCGTGACCACGAGCAGCAGCAAAGGCTAGGGCATTAATTAATATATATTTCAGTGTTATATTATTAGGAAATAGCCTACGCTCAGGTTTGACAGAACATATCAATACATCGAAACTATATTGATATTAAATGCGAATTTCGATGATTAAAATCAATAAATAAGTGTAATAAATCGACATTATGTTCGATATAAAGGACTATTATAATCAAGTTGAAAAATTAAATAATTTAAATATAATGTTATTTTTGTCTATATATCTAATATATAATATTTAATATTTAATTTTAATTTAATTTTAATTATATATCGATATCTTAATATCATATCGATTTTATTTCCGATTAAAATCCCTTTTACTCACTTTCTATAGCCTCCTTGGGTGACTTCTTCATCATGGTGATCATGAAATAGCAGATGAGGTAACCAGTACGATTCACACCATGTGTACAATGAACTCCTATTAGTTTATCTGTAAAAAAAATAAATTTGTATAAATTAAATGCAATTTAAATGTAAATAAAGCTATATAAAAAATCCAAACCAAATTCTTATGATGTCCAACTTTTTGGTTATATCTTTTGCCTGGTTTTTGGCAGGATTGCCGCCAGTCTGCTGCAAATTGCTACAAATTTCATTGCAAAACACGGCCACAGGAATGTCCTCTTCTGCCCTGACTCCCTGACACTCCTCCTCCTACTCTTGCGCCTCCTGGACCGCTCCACGCCCATTGGTAACACCCACGCCGTTGAGAGACCGCAACAGAAAACCGGCCTGGCCTGGCCTGGGCAATTTGGCAAAAAAGCAGAAGCGACCTGAGCTAAATCTAGAAAACAGCGCGCACCGCGCTCTGCCAATAATAACATTGGCTATAAATTTCACAAAAACATGTCAGCGGGAGGGATTTGTGAGCGGCACAAAGCGGGGGATTCGGAGGAGACTCAGACAACCCACCAGGTCGCGGTGGCCGCCTGCCTTTGTGCACTATGCGGGTGCTGGTTTCGAATTGGCTTTAGCCTTAGCTTTGGGTTTAAGTTTTCGGTTTTTGGTTTTGGCTTTGACTTTGGCCTGGTTGTTCCTGGTCATTGGCAGCCATCGGCCAACAAGCTGCCAGTCAGTCAGTACGTCATGTTTAGGTTGGCATTTAAGCCAACTTTACAGGGAGAAAAGAAAAAACAAAATTAAATTACGAGAATGCAAGCGGAGCATCCTTGTCCCGCTGACAGGGGACAGTGGTTTAGAGTTTATAATATATATAGAAATGGAGGAATTATTTTAAAATACTTTTTGGGGCTAAAGAAAATTCAGAAAATGTTGCTATACTATTTAATACTTATTTTAGAATTATAAAAAAATCGGATAAATCCTTTATTATTTTTTTTTATAATAAACTCAATTTTTTAATTTTAATCATTTTCTTTATAATTATAAATAAACTCAACTAATACTCTTATATTTTCACTAATTTCTATAATCAAAATTTATATTATGCATTTAAAAATTATATCAGGCTAATAATCGTGATCAATAAAATAATAATATAAATACATTTTCTACAATATCCCACTGTTCCCAGTCAACGACTTCGCCTTGTTCTTGATCACAAACGTATCCTCTACTACCTTCATCGCCCCGTTGACAAGTTGCGACCACCTCGGATTTGACTTATTTACCCTGATTTGTTTCGTTGTAAATATGTTGGCAGCCTTCGTTGCATTTATTTATTTATTGTTTTGTTTTACGAGACTTTCCGCGGCGCCAGATCTTGTATTAATTAAAGGCCTAGGACCACTTTATAGCAGGCATTTTTACATATTTTCTGAGCTAAATCGGTTCACACATACATTAGCGCAAGATGAAAGTGCTTGGGAAAATATTTAAGCGTAGGCAGCGCCCACAACTAAAAACGAAATAATTATGAAGTTAAGTTTAAGGCGGGAAAATTTTAAATTCCCCTTAAATATTTTTTAAGTTTAAGAAGGCTACTATCAATATAAATAATCAGAAAATTAAGAACTTCAAGAAAAACAAAACAATTCCCTAGAAAGAAAACTAAATAATATATATAAGAAAATATATAAATAATTGTTAAAATTAATAAGACTATTATTAATATAGTCTTTACATTAAGAACTTCGAAGAAAACAAAAATATATATATGAAATTTGAGTATCAGTTTAAGTCAAATCTTAAAAACAAACTTTTTAAACTTCTCATATATAATAATATAATATATAATTTTTCTCACTGCACCAAAAGCCTCAATGCAATTTGCTTCGTTATGAAAAATATATAAATGAAAAGCGCGCCTGTGCGCATGCCTTTTGTGCATAATTGGAAATGCCTTTTCCCTCACACTCTCTCATGACTAAGCTCCATGCCCCGTATGTAAGTGATTTGTTTGCCCGGGCTCCTGACTGGCAGACAGGCTCCCAGAGATTCCACAGATCCCAGCCAGCCTCTCTCCCCACTGATGCTGCCCTGAGCCCCAAAGGCCAACTGACTGACTGCCTGACTGATTGAGTGTGTGCGCCCACACCGGCAGTCTGCCAGGCCGCTAAAAAGGGTTAAATAGAGTATTTCTCTTTGCTGGCGGCACATTTCACCACTTTGTGGCTCTATGTGTTTGCGGTGCGCTTGCCGGCTGATAGGAATCTTTGGAGGCAGTGCAGCACTGGGATTAGGATACGTGGTAATTGCGGCTGCCCCTCCATTTTTATATATTTTTTGTTTTGCATATTTTTGTGGCTCTAATTACGCGTAAAGATATGCATCTTCTTGGGAACTGCATCTGCATTCTCCACTGGAAAGCGTTTCCCACGACCCAACAGGCTCAAATAGGCCATCATGTGGAAGGTTTTTGACAAGCACTCACCATTATCCGCATTGCTGGCAAGGAAGTCGGCCACAAAGCCACAAAATCTGTGGAGGAATGGAGATAAGGGTTCATTAGTTGGAAATATATTAATAAATATATTAAAAAATTTAATATGAGCCAAACAAGAGCTATTTTAGGCAAGTTTTTTAACGTTGCGAGAGTGCCTTATTTTTGTGGAAATACTAAATCGGATTACATTAAAATCGATATACATTAAAATCTAAATTATTAATCCATATTATTAATAAGTAAACAAATTTTTAATTACTTTTCAGCCAACGCTCGTGGTGGCGTCTGTTTTCCCGGTATCATTAGCTTCTGATGTCGCACATCGTTGGCAGCAAAGGCATTCGGATGATAGTAGCGGTTCGTGTTGGTCAGATCGATGATCAGGCCCAGATTCGGCACCGATTCCATCAGCGATTCAGGCGCCAGGCGCAGCTTCTCCTCCACCCTGGCGTTGACATTCTGTAAAAAGGATAAAAACGAAAGAATGAGGATAAGGCAAAGGCAAATACACGACTCAGAAATTGCTCAATTTATGCAAAAGGGCCCCCGGGCGGCAGGCAATTAATATATATAAGCAGGAGGAGAAGAGCTTCCAGGAGGAGAAGCGCTTCCAGCTTCGTGGCGTTATTTAATTAAGCAAAAACAATTTAATTTAATATTCATGTGTGGGGTCCCATGTCCATGTTCCAGTTGCCACTTTTATGCATAATTACAATGCACGAAATTCGTCGTCGCTGCTGTCGTCCGATGTCCGTTGTTATTTATTTTTAGAGGGAAACCTCCAAGTCGGTGGTCCTTGCACCGCCGCCGTCACATCCATCAATTGACGGTGGCCCCCTGGCCCTGGTCCTCTCGCCTGTCAACCGGTTTACGGGGACAAGCAAATGGTTGCTCCTACAAACGTGGTTTAAGGGCGAAGCTTACCTCATGCAGCGGCACCTTGAAGGCTATGAAACGCGTCCCGGGCACCCTTTCGCCGATCGGATTGTAGTTCAGCCATCTGAAAAAATGTAAACAAAGGGTATTTCTATCACAAGGCAAGCAAATAATGTATTTGTTCTTTACTCACCGGTCGGGTATCGCCTTGGCCATTGTCTGTTGTGTTTTTAAAGATATAGCTGCCTTTAAAACGTTAATTTTTGGATGTTGCTTACAAAATTTAAGAAAATGTGTTATAATAAAAATGCTTGTTTTTAAGAGAGCTGCCAGAGTTCTACAAATAACACATGTTACGCAGGTGACGCTGTTAGCTTAGGTTAACAGTTCGTATAGCAGTAGGCATTGGCGGGTCTGGCAACGCTGCTGTAAAAGTGACCACTGTTAAAAGGAGGCGCACAGTGGAGCTTGGTTTTAAGAGTTGATATCACATTTAATTTGTAAAATCGAAATAAAACAAAAACGAGTACCTTTTCAAATTTTATCAAAATCTAATAAAAAAAACTAAAGCTAAGAAATTTAACATTTTAAATAATTTTGTTTGGCAATGACTAAAGGAAGCTATATTATTTTTGTTTTAAATTTTATTAATTAGTTTTTATATATACCCCCTGAATTTTAATTTTATTAAATTTATATATTAATTATTATTTAATATATTCCTCTTGATTTTACTCCCAAATAGTCTCTTACCCCCACTGTACCACACTGTACATCGTCTAAAATGTCCCAAAAAACGACAAACGCCTGAACAGCTGATTCGCCGCGAGAAACCTTTGGACTTATGTGATTTTTTTATAGCCGAGGTAAGTTTTTGATCAATTTCATTAATTATTTAATTAATCAAACAAATTTCCACCTACCCTTAAATTAGATAATCCAACTAGCTAATCCCTAAAATGTTCGTCAACAGCACGCGGAATGTGATGCGCAGCAGTTTCGTAAGTGTAAAAATTTATTAAAAATAAAAAAGCGCAGGCGCTGGGGGCTCTGAGTTAAATAACAACTAATTCATTTATTCCCCTTTTAGCTGCAGCGCTGCAAGAGCACCTTGGTGGTTGCCGAGCACAACAATGAGGCCCTCAACCCCCTCACCTTGAACACTATTTCCGCGGCCAAGAAGATCGGCGGTGACGTCACAGTACTAGTGGCTGGCACCAAGTGTGGACCCGTAAGTCTCCTAGTCTCACAAAAAGGGGTTTAGATATCTTAAATAGTAGTATATATCTAGATAGGTTTTGGTAGAGGTTATAAATTCTATATAAAAATGTGATCTTTAAGGTTTTCCCGTAGCTTTAGCTCATTATTTGTTGTGGGAAATTATAGCTGATGCCGGCATCTAGTTATATAAATAGTTGTCTTTGTGAAGAAAGTACAAACTTGGAAGAATTTTTCATATGTGGCAGTTGACTGCACTTAAAACTAGCTATAAGCTTCAAGAACTACTTAAACCTTCTCTCTATTTTATTCCAGGCCTCCGAGGCTCTCTCCAAAGTCGAAGGCGTTACCAAAGTCCTGGTGGCTGAGAATGCTGCCTTCAAGGGTTTCACCGCCGAATCGCTGACACCTTTGGTCCTTGCCGCCCAATCTCAGTTCAAGTTCACCCACATCCTAGCTGGCGCCTCGGCTTTCGGCAAGAATGTTCTGCCCCGCGTGGCTGCCAAGCTGGATGTCTCCCCCATCTCCGAGATCATTGATGTCAAGTCGGAGGATACATTTGTGCGCACCATATACGCTGGAAATGCCATCCTAACCCTCAAGTCCAAGGACCCTGTGAAGGTGATCACTGTGCGAGGCACCAACTTCCCACCGGCGGCTACCAGCGGCGGAAGCGGAGCTGTGGAGCAGGCACCAGCTGGTGAATATGCCAGCACTCTTTCGGAATTTGTTTCCCAAGAGCTGACAAAATCCGATCGTCCGGAGTTGACCGGCGCCAAGGTTATTATTTCCGGAGGACGTGGCCTTAAGTCCGGCGATAACTTCAAGCTGCTGTACGATCTGGCTGACAAGTTTGGCGCCGCTGTGGGTGCCTCGCGTGCCGCTGTGGATGCCGGCTTTGTGCCCAACGATCTGCAGATTGGTCAGACCGGCAAGATTGTGGCTCCCGAGCTGTACATTGCCGTTGGCATCTCTGGTGCCATTCAGCATCTGGCTGGCATGAAGGACTCCAAGACTATTGTGGCCATCAACAAGGATCCCGAGGCTCCCATCTTCCAAGTGGCTGACATTGGCATCGTGGCTGATTTGTTCAAGGCTGTGCCCGAGTTAACTGGCAAGTTGTAAAGAGGAGGAGTAACTGTCCCGTGTGTTTGTAGTGTATAAAAATTATGTACCGATGAATCGATAACTGCTGCATTTATTTGAATTTCTAACCGAGTCTGCGGAAGATTTTTCCTCACAAATTTTGTAATAAAAAAGAAGAAGACGAACCCCTATTCTATAAAGAGATTGTAGTGTTCTCAGTTCGAGAGGAATAAGAGATGTGTTTGGGGCATATATATATACAAATATTAATCAGGTCTAGAGATAATGTAAAAATCAACAGGGATTAAGCAGTTTTATCTTTGCAATTACGAGTTTGAAGTGGCTGGCTTTTAGGTGTCTATAAAAATAGAGATAATTTCTTATCAGAATTCAAGATCATATCGTATGTTTACTTTTTTCAGAAGCTTTTATTAAAAGCTTTATTAGTTAAATAAACATGTGGCATAAAGCTGTCAGTGGGAGAAACTTCGGCACGCCGAAGTTTGTATACCCTTGCAGATAGTAATTGGATCTAAAGAATAGAGCCATTCTGGTTAAATAATTAAAAAAAATAATAATAAATAATATATAAAAATGTGTATATTTATACATAGCATAAATAAAATTCGTTGCAAACTTCTAACTGAAATTATAATACCCTGCAAGGGTATAAACATGTTTAAAATTGGCAAACAATTAAAAATTTTTTTATATTTAAAATTGCTGTACGCAGATTAATAACCTTGTGAAAGCTAACACAGAAATGGTTCAGAATTCAAATTAATGAATTTTTGTCTTAGTTTGCAAAGTTTGTCTTTACTCACAGTTTGTTTGTGGCGTCCAAATGTAAATATTTATTTTCTCTTCATCTTTTACAAATTATTTGAAAAATCACTGGCACTTTTTTTACTCCAACCACAGAAACAAAAAAGACGAACGGCACGCTTTCGTCCTTTTTTTGCCCGTTTGCCACATTCCTTCTTACTCTTTTCCTCCGCATCGCTTTTGCCGATCAAAGCAAGAAGAAGACGCAAAAGCAAGGCGGAAACTAACGGGACTTGTTCAGTTCGCTGGCTTGGCCACGCGCTCTGTCTCACTCGCACCCGCACTTGCAATTGGACTAAACTAAAACTGAAATAAAACCGAACTCTACGCAGTCCGGGCAAAGATTTTTCCGGCTTTCTCAGGGCTTTCACTTTTCCCATCACAGAGAATGTTTTCCCGCAATTTTCCGATCGTTTTTCCCCGTTTTAAGCCCGTTTTTCACAGGAGCGCACTTTTTTCCTACCGAACAGTTTTTTAGCGAAAAATTATAAGAGGAGGAAGGAATTGCAGACGCCTAAAAGAAGGAGGCTGCGAGAGAGCGCTCTCTCTTCCAGTTTCCCCTCTCCCGCTCTCCGGAGCTCCCAGGAGCGCGCTTTTTCTTACCGAAAAGTTTTTTACCGAAAAATGGAAAGAGGAATTGCGAAACGGAGGGAATTGAAGACGACGAAAAGATGGAGGCTGCTAAAAAAAAAACACACAAAACAAACGAACTACACTTTTTCGGCCGTTTTTTGACCGTTCTATACATTTTTCCTCATTTTCTCCGCTTCGCAAGCGGAGCCAGAAGAAGACACGAAAGCAAGGCGGAAACTAACGGGACTTGCTCAGTTCGCTGGCGTGGCCACGCGCTCCGTCTCACTCGCACCCGCACTTGCAATTGGACTAAACTAAAACTGAAATAAAACCGAACTCTACGCAGTCAGGGTAAAGATTTTTCTGGCTTTCTCCGGGCATTCGTTTTTCCCATCACAGAGAATGTTTTCCCGCAAATTTCCGATCGTTTTTCCCCGTTTTAAGCCCGTTTTTCGCAGGAGCGCACTTTTTTCCTACCGAACAGTTTTTTAGCGAAAAATTGAAAGAGGACGCCGAAAAGATGGAGGCTGCGAGAGAGCGCTCTCTCTTCCAGTTTCCCCTCTCCCGCTCTCCGGAGCAAAAACTAAAATATATAATAAATCTAATCATAATTATTATAAATATATACATATATAATAAATATAAATATATATATTTAAATATATCAAGACCAACATCAAATGTTTTCCAGATGTATTTAGATTTTCCACTAAAATCTTAATAAAACAAAAGGAAGTTAACTTGAACAACCCGAAGCTTGTATATCCTTGCAGTTTGCAATTGGATTATTAAGACTTGAGCCATTCTGGATAATAGGTAATATATGTACATATATAAATATATAAATGCTATATATGTCGGAACGGGCCGGATCGGACAACTATATCATATACCTGCCATACAAATGTTCGATGAATTTTTAGAAAAAAAAATTTTAACTTGGCTGTTTTTTAACATTTTTACCATTTTTGAGATATGGCTATTTCATATTATTTAACATAATAGAAAAAAAATTATAACTTTGTTGTTTTTCAACGTATTTTCATCTACTTATTTTATTATTTCCGAATTTTGGTATACATTTTATGAAAATTGGATAACTATATCATATAGCTGCCATATAAACCAATCAGTAGATGTAGAGAAAATGTAAAGCTGGGAATGCAAAACTGTAACTGTCAAACTGTAAACATAATAAGTATAGGTAAAATGTAATGAAATAATATTTGCAAGGGTCTATATTCAATTCGTAAATCGTTGGTATATTTTCGGTATTATCGTGCTTATTATAAATCGTAGAATCATAAAAACTAAAATCAAGCCAAAGACCACACCAATCACCAGAGTGGTCCACTCCAAGGGATTTAAACTGTTGTTGGTGGGTAAGACATGGGTGTTGATGCCGCCCTAAAATGAAGAAATAAACTATTAAATATAATATTTTTTTAAAAACCATTAAAGATCCTACCCAACCACCATTCTCATTGATCCAAGGCACCAACTCATCTTCTATAACCTCGGACACACTCTCCATCAGCTTGGGCAGGTACTCCGGATGACCCTGGCGCACACAGTCCACGGACAGGCCACCGGCAATGGCAAACAGAGAGATGACCTTGCTCCAGGTGATCTCCACACGAAAAAGGTCACGTCCCACAGCGCCCAAAAGCAAGCTCACAGCATCTGGAGTGTGAAATTCACCGCCAGGATTGCGGCAAATCTGACGGGCAACGCCATTGTAAACCCGGGGATGCATGCGCTCCAGTTCGTCGCCCAGCTAAATATAAAATTTTGTTTAATTTACATTATTTACTTATTATTTTAAAGAGTATAATTACCACTTGAACAGCTGGAAAGACATCACGAACAATGCCCAAGGAGGTGGAACCTAGTATGCTGCGTATGCGCTGCAAACCCAGTTTTTTATTGAACAAACCTGATCTTCTCAGGCGTCGTTTGATATAGTGGCCACACAAACAGCGACCCTGGCAGGGGAAAAAATAGTAAATATATTTATAATATATCTAAGAATGTTTAAAATATTATTTTTTCCCAATAAAAACCCACCTGCGTGATGATATCCTGCGCTGGTATCTGTGCCGCCTTCCAGCCAATAGTATAGGATAGCTTCCTGGTGACCACATCGCTAACATTGCTCAGTCTCCTCCTGGTTGTCTCTCCCCTCTGGCTACCTCCACCCACCTCCAATAAGGAGGCGGAATGTAAAGTAGCTGGAAAACTGAATTTTCTACGATTCTGAGCCTGCAGCAAACGTTCGCTTTGGGTGGTGGCCATGGGGAAACCGTTGCTGAAATTATCGTTATTCGTGGGATACGAGGTGCCGGGCATTGAGATCCTGCGGGGAATTACTTGTAAGAAATTAACCAGAGTCATAAATCAAAACTACTCATATGTAGTTTAAGATCCAGTTTAGAGCTGGTGTCTTGTTAATTCAATTAATTGCATTTAATTTGGCGAATGCCTGACCGCTGGGAATAACCTGTCCCACACATTGAACATTAAACATTAATAATAATTGGCTCAAAGCATAAATGTCATGTTTAGCTAATGGGAAAGCTATACAAATATGGACCAAAAACACTGGTGAATGAACCTAGGAAATCAGATTAAGAGTAAGGAGAACACTTCCCACATGGACAAGTGATCAAGAGGGATTTAAGGTACAAATAATTAAATATGAAATAATTAAAAAAAAAGTTTGAGATTTCTTAGGAATCAAGAAATACTTTTCAAGATATTTTTAAAATTCTAGACATTTGTTAATCTATCAATAAATATATCTTATAATTAAATCAATTTTTCACTGTTTAGATTTCATTATAACGCTCTTGTGTATGACTCTTTACCCGAGGTTGCCCAAAATGGTCACATTACCGGACAGATTGTCGGCTCGTTAGGTTTGATTGGACTTCTGGCTAAACAGCGCTCAGAAATCCACAATATGGCCAAAATGTTACTGCTGCCTCTGTGTTCGCAGCTGTTGTTGTCATTAGTTGTCCACAAGCGAGATGTCAAATGGCAAATGATTTGTGGGACAAGTGAGTTTCGGATTCGATTCGAATTGTATTGAATTGATTCGAAGATGAAACCGAACTCGGTTCCCCGGAGAGCACTTGGCAATTAGCTTTACATAACCTGACCCACTCAACAAAGCCGCAAACCAAAGCCAAATCCGTTCGTGACCAAGGAAAGTCCATCGATGGGTTGACACCAAAGTCGTGTGTGCTGTGTGTCTTTCTTTACCTATAAAAGTAATAGCTGTCTTAGCTGTCTTGGGAAAGTGATCCCAGCCAGAATAAATCGTTTCAAAAAATTAATTCAGGCCAGGGAAGTCACGCCCTGGGCTTAAGAGCTTATAAAAACCCTATAGCTTGGGGTGTCATCAGTCAGTTATTGGTGAAAATGTCAACCAGGTGGACGTCTCTAGTCATTGCCCTGATGGGTTTGCTAGTTGTCAGGAAAAGTCTGGGGGATGTCTCGCATTATTATGCCTCTCCTTTGGAACAGTTTGGAAACTATCTACACGGTCAAGTGCCCTTTCAGCTGGGTTTAGCTCCTCCTAGTTTATATGGACCTGGTACTGGTTCTGGTAGTGCTCCTCCTGCTTTTGCTCCTGTCACTCCATCTCCAGTGGCTCCAGCTCCCGTGGCCACCACAGAGTTTAGTCTGCCGGAGATTATTGAAAATCGCAGTATCAAGTTTCAGGGAAGCGGCGGCCATGGTGGATTTATACCTCTTAGTCAGCATTATCTTCCACCGGCCATAGAAGAGCGTCCCAACTATGAAAGTCCCAAGCCCAGGTGAGTTTTTTATAAATTAAAAATATTTCTATATTGTTATATTATTCGTTATTTTAATAAAATAATAAGATATTTTTAAAAACAAACCCTCCTTCTTTCAGCGAAGAACCTTATCCCGCTTACTACTACCCCCAACCTGGTGGCACTATCATTACCACCTCTATACCCACAACTACCACCACTTTAAGACCCATAATAGTGCAAGATCCTGGCGAGGAAATAGAGACCATTCATTCCCCAGGCTATGACTACCATGCGCCCGTGGCTGTCCCTGTATTTCCCACACAAAAACCCTCCACACCTGCGCCTGTATACCTTCCTCCTGAAGGTATTCAGGATCAAAATCAACTACGTCTCCGACTCAAGGACATGCGTTGCCTTTCTGGAAGATATTTCCGAGCTGTGTTCAAGTTGGACAGCTTTTTGGGAGCTGCACCAACATTGGATCAGGACAACGACGATGTGCAGGATAAACGCTGTGAAATGAAGCTTTCAAGGAGTTTTCTGCTGCTGGATATTTCAGGCGAGGATTTCGAGCGTTGTGGTGTGAAATCCTGTGGTCAGGACTTGTGTTTACGCCTGCGATTTCCAGCTATAAGAGGGTTAAGAACCAGCGGGGATTCGATTTTAACTCTACACTGCAAAACCCAAGAAAGAGTGGCGGTCAAGACACATGCCTTGAAAATGGCTGTGGCCAATGATGTGTAAGGATGACAGTTATTTTAAAGGATTTTAATATTATATAATTAATAATAATAATAATAATAATTAATAATTATAATTAATATTATATTTATAATACATTTTTTAGACAATCTCGCAGCGCTGGCAGCTACGCCCATGGCGGCAATCAGAATCCCTTTCGCACTCATGTGGAGCTACTCAGAAAGGGTGGCAATGGTTATACCCGTCATCTGGAGACCAATGGAGCAGTGCAGCTGGGCGAGGAGTTGCTTTTGAGAGCTCATGTTCTGGCGGGGGATGGTAACCTATAAATTCTCGACATTCTAAGCATTCTTCTAAGACAAATCCTCTTTTTACAGGCTGGAACTACACCAAGCTAAGCGATGTCCAGCTTCAAAGGATTGCATCTGGCGGTGAAGTCCTCAACACTGTTCAGTTAATCAGCTCCAGAGGCTGTCTCAACCCTGCCATGCTCTCCATCTGCTCTCATTCCCCCATTTTGGAACCTCCTTTGGGCCAGAGACTTCGCTTCAAGGCTGTGATGTTTCCTGGAATGCGAAGTGGAGAGGTTTTGATGATCTCCATGCGGATTACAGGTTGCTTGGAGCGCGAGGATTGCCAGGTGACAGCCCAGGATTGCTTGCCTTCGGTGGGTCAAAGGAGACGAAGGAATGTCTCTCATGGCAATGGCACTGAGGTGTCGGAAGTTTCACACCTGAGTTTTAGGGTTATAATGCCGGGAGCTGAGGTGGAGGAATTAAGCAAGGATATGGGGGATATTGAGAGAAATTTGGGAGTTAGAGAGGTGTCCAAGTCACTGGCTTTATTTGGCAGCTTGGGTTTTGTGGTGATGCTTCTGGGTGTGGCCATTGTGGCTTTGTATAAGTTTGGAAAATAGTGAAAATGTGGGAAATTATGGCAGGTTTTTTAAAAATATAAAGAATAATGTATATTTAATATATATAATATAATAACATTTTTTGATTTTATTAGAAAAGTATAAAGAAGATTGTGTCGTTATAAAATCTATTTTAAAAGTGTCGAAAAGGATCCAATAAAATTTGTTAACATTAAAAATTACTATAAAAATGCCTTTAGAAGAGGTAAAAAATTATAGAAAATGTTTTGACACTTTTTTAAATAGTTTTAAAATCTCCATAAATTTCTGAGGCAACCGTAATACAAAACTATTATTTTAAAATCCTGAAAAAGTAAAGAAATAATACCTAACTAGACAAAAATATTAAATATACCTCTCTATAGATTGTTACTCCAGTACAAAACCCAATTAGAACCATAACAAGTGTTTTCCCAGTTCTAAAGATATGATTCTTGTTGGAAACTGAACCCTAACTTTGTTATCAGTGAACCAATTTCAATTAAGCTGCCACATTCCTATAGAGACCCCCTGGTGTGTAATTAAATTGTTACTTTCATAGATTTTCAGACCCCCCACAAAGACCAAAAAGCGTCGAAAATCAGCCACTAATTGGCTGCGATTTTCATGCCCATTAAGCGTTAACTGTCAGCTGCCACCGGAGGAGCAATGCTTGGATTATCATACTATATATAAACCAAAAGCCGACTTACAAATTGCACCAAATAACAAAGCCAAAACTGTGAGCCGGGTGAGCCGCGTTTCATTAGTCGCCCCGCTCGAAGCGTGAAAACGTGATAGAATTTCGGTTTGAGCCAGCATTTATATATGTATGTACATATATATGTATATCTGGTCATAGCCAAAATCGCTCAGATCGGCGATTGCAATTTGCGAATTGCGCACGCTGTTTGGGAAATCAGTCAAGTCAGAGTCACTTGGCTTAGATTTGGGTTTTTTTTTTTTTTTTGTTTTATTTATTTTGAGCCTGAGACCTGACCAATTACAAGCAACATGAACATAAATAAACTTTTATTAAGTGCTAATTTCTGTTTTAAGCTTGAAATGGGCAAAGATATTGGCTCGATGGTGATGCCAATAGAGCGATAAGTCAATTTACTTGGCAGCAAGAGAGACAGAAAGACGTTTAAAAGACAGCCTTCAGATTGGCACCGTTTGATAGGGTTGGATATAGGTTTTTTTCGGGAGTTTCCTTAGGGTTTAATGGAGAAAAAAATGCGCAAGAAAAACCTAGAAATTAAGGTAAATCAGAAAGAGAATTAATGAAAATTTCAGACATCTTTTAAAGGCGAACTTATTTCAAAACTTAATAAGGTAAATAATATTTTCAGCAAATAAATGATGAAATATTGATGTATAATATAACATAACATTCTATAAAAGAAGATTACTTTTGTATATTTTATTCAACACATTTGACCATTTCTAATCTTCAATATAAGACGGAAATTAATGTTGAATAAATTTAAAATATATTTACCCATTTATAAAACAAAAATAATTTTTTTAGAAATTTTAATTATATCTACCTATAAAAAATATATTTAGAATTCCCCATTATATTCCCTGATCTCTTTTCCATATTCTTTCACTGACCTAAGTCAAGCGTGAAATTATGCGCTCGCAAAAATTCCCACAGCTCTCTCTCCCTCTGAGATCATCGATGGCTGAAGATCATCGATGCGTTCGCATCTCCTGGCCATTTTTGGAGGGGGTAATGGCTATGGGAATGTGGAGCCCGCTGATGTTTTGCAAGCTCCAGTGCCCGATGTTAACTAATTAATAATCCCGACACGTTCCGTCGTCCGTACAGAATCAAGGGGCAGAGACGAGGCTATATAGCCTGGCTATAGCCCGAGCTGTACGTACTTTGTCTTTGTCGCTTAAATGGCAGGCAAAAATGTGTTTGCCTGAACATAAATTAATGTCGTCTCCGGCCCCCTAAAACTGGCGCTTAAGTTCGTGTTCAATCTTAGCTCCAATCCATGGAGTTCCCCACATTGCACTTGCTGGCAATTTACACTCTTCAGCCAAAAGTCGAAGCCAATGTATATGTGTGTCTGAGTCTGGACCTGGCCTAAACAATTTTCATGTCGTCGTCGGATTGTCCGCTTAAATTATCGACTACTTAGTGCCCAGTTTAGCGAATGCCTAATAAATATTTATGAGCACACTTCATTTTAGTCAATTTTCAAATGGACAAGCAAAATGCGAGACTACTCTCTGTTATGTCTGTTTCGGTTCTATGAATGGATCGATCATGATCGTTGATTACTTTTTGTATATACATATCTATATATATGGAAGGGGATTTTGCTTTCAAAATAAGTACACATTGGCCCACATGCGAAAAGGGAGGAGTTTAGTGGAATTTACTTGAGTTGCTGTTGGTTTTTTTGAGATGAATATAAAGACCACCATCGGATGGATCTCGTTGATAATGACTGCATAGAATATGTGGAAATACATATGCAAATTATAAGACAATCTTGCAGCGTAATATTTTCAGCTTATAAGAAAATAAAAATGAATTCTCTTAAATGTGGTCATCAGTCTTTCTCCAAAACTCGAGTGGAAAAGTATTATAAATAAATAAATAAATATAAAAGAAATGCGCTGCTTTATTATTTTCTCCTTTGAACGTGCCAACCTGGTCAGCCTCCAGAGCCATGTTGAGCTGGACGCCTTTAATAGTCTGAATAGGCTGAATCGTTACTGTATCGATGTCACCAATCAATTCAAGGAGGATGAGTATATGTCCATCACCACAGCATCCACAGCGAAATTCCTGCACTAGGCTGAGGGAGAACCCACCGAGGATGGCAAGTGGGTCGAAATTAGTACGTATACTTCGGTGCCTACAATAAACGATAATGTTTGCTCGTCGAAAATGTTTTATATATGTCTACTGCTGATTTTTAAAAACTGTATATTTTTCTTAATTAAATTTCAATTTCGAACTCTAAAGTCTTAGTTTCTTGTTTTAAAAGAAAGGATTTTAGAAATCTATGTTGTAGAACTAAGATTTATTTTTGAATTTAGGTCTTAAGGTAAGCTCTATATTTTCTGAGATTTAAAATGTTTGAATATTTTATTTCTTTGGGATTTGTTTAACATAAACCTCTAGGCCCCAAAAGTGCCATGAGGCACTTATTACATTATTCACTCTAGAAAAAATTATTTCATTTAATTAACAGAGCTTCCATTTACCCCAAAATCACCATTCTATTATTTTATAAATTTCCTGTTTTAATTGGATTAACTCAAACTACACCAATGGATTTATGCACAATTAGTGTCCCTCCCCCCCGTGCACACATTAATTTATGAAATGCTCTGCCATTGGCCAGACTCCTCATAAAAAAGCCAACTAAAATCAACAATCGCGGAATCAGCGAGTTGCTCGCACTCATTAGCAACTTTTATTAACCAAAAGTGTCAAATGTTTTATCTGCCGTTGGCGATTGGCCCAAAGCAACCGAGTTTGGCCTAAAGCATTTGTTAGGCATTGCATTTAATTTTATTTTTGCTTTGTTTTTTTTTTTCATTTTTATGGGCTGTCCGACTTGTTTTTTGTCTGTGGGCTGTGCGTTTTTAAGCATTGTGAGCATGTTAACATTTGTGTTACTGATTTTTTACAACATTTGACAGTTACGCAGGCCCAGAGAGGCCCGAAGCTTGGAATTTCGCATTTATTTATTTATCTATTTCAAATTCGGAGCGCATGACAAACGATTTTGAAGCAATTTGACTTTCGATCGGTGTGATTGGTTAATCAACTCCAAAGTATAAATTGTATATCGAGAGAAAAAGTTCCATATTTTCATATATTTCAGAATTTTGGTTTTAATTTTATGAAAATCGGACGACTATATCTTATAGCTTCGTTGTTTTTCAAGGTATTTTCATCTACTCTGAGATATAATAAAAATAGAAACGAACCGTAGAAGTAGAGAAAATGTAACGCTGGGAATGTAAAACTGTAACTGTCAAACTGTAAACATAATAAGTATAAGTAAAATAAAATGAAACTTTGTTTTGTGTGTGTTTCCAGCATTTAAATTTATAACGTGTATTGTATTGGATATTTAAATCTAATATATATATTATTTTATACGATCGTTCTTTTTTAAATTTTGTCAAGAGCAAACTATTATATGGTGTGCATAAATATACAACTTTTATATATTTCCTATTATTTTTATACCCTTGCCAGGGTATTATAATTTTAGTCAAAAGTGTGTTACATAGTGAAGGGTTCATTTCTGACCCTATAAATCATATATATTCTTGATCAGCCCAAAAAGCGGAGTCGATCTAGCCATGTTTAGGAGAAAACAAATTTAAAAAATTTTTTTTTAATTTCTTAGGTCCTAAAATTGTTGAAGTTGTCAAAAAAAAATTGGAAAAAATTTCAATTTCTTAAAATGTGAAATTTAGTATGCAGTTTCGTTATCCTATAAAAAACTAGCACAGAAAAGCTTTCCGAATTGAATTTGATGCTTTTTTGGCTTAGATATGACTTTTTTTTTAAATAAAAATACCATTTAAAATATAAAAATATTCATTTAAAGAGTGTGAATATTTTAGATCTTCTTGAGGTGTTTTATGATTTTTGTCAGCGAAGGAGTCGTTTCCGACCCCATAAATCATATATATTCTTAATCAGCCCAAAAAGCGGAGTCGATCTAGTCATGTTTAGGAGAAATCAAATTAAAAAAATTTTTTTTTTAATTTTTGAGGTCCTAAAATTGTTGAAGTTGTCAAATAAAAATTGGAAAAAATTTCAATTTCTTAAAATTTGAAATTTAGTATGCAGTTTTGTTACCCCAGAAAAAACTAGCACGGAAAAGCTTTCCGAATTGAATTTGATTCTTTTTTGGCTTAGATATGCCATTTTTTATATAAAAAAATACCATTTCAAATATATAAAAATATTAATTTAAAGAGTGTGATTATTTTAGCTCTTCTTGAGGTGTTTTATGATTTCAGTCAGCGAAGGAGTCGTTTCCGACCCCATTAATCATATATATTCTTGATCAGTCCAAAAAGCGGAGTCGATCTAGCCATGTTTAGGAGAAAACAAATTTAAAAAATTTTTCATTTAATTTTTGAGGTCCTAAAATTGTTGAAGTTGTCAAAAAAAAATTGGAAAAAATTTAAATTTTTTAAAATGTGGAATTTAGTATGCAGTTTCGTTATCCTATAAAAAACTAGCACAGAAAAGCTTTCCGAATTGAATTTGATGCTTTTTTGGCTTAGATATGACTTTTTTTTTAAATAAAAATACCATTTAAAATATAAAAATATTCATTTAAAGAGTGTGAATATTTTAGATCTTCTTGAGGTGTTTTATGATTTTTGTCAGCGAAGGAGTCGTTTCCGACCCCATAAATCATATATATTCTTAATCAGCCCAAAAAGCGGAGTCGATCTAGTCATGTTTAGGAGAAATCAAATTAAAAAAAAAATTTTTTTAATTTTTGAGGTCCTAAAATTGTTGAAGTTGTCAAATAAAAATTGGAAAAAATTTCAATTTCTTAAAATTTGAAATTTAGTATGCAGTTTTGTTACCCCAGAAAAAACTAGCACGGAAAAGCTTTCCGAATTGAATTTGATTCTTTTTTGGCTTAGTTATGATCGGTTTTTGATTGAATGACAGATCATATGGCATATGGGTATACAAATTTCGGTTTCCCGAAGTTAGTTTCCTTTCTTGTTTTTCTATTAATATATCCAGAATGGCTCAAGTCTTAATGATCCAATTGCAAACTACAAGGATTTACAAGCTTCGGGGTGCCGAAGTTAGCTTCCTTTCTTGTTTTACTAGGATTTTACTGCAAAATCGAAATATATCTGGAAAACATTTGATGTTTGGTCTTGATATATTTAAATATATATATTTATATTTATTATATATGTATATATTTATAATAATTATGATTAGATTTATTATATATTTTAGTTTTTGCTCCGGAGAGCGGGAGAGGGGAAACTGGAAGAGAGAGCGCTCTCTCGCAGCCTCCATCTTTTCGGCGTCCTCTTTCAATTTTTCGCTAAAAAACTGTTCGGTAGGAAAAAAGTGCGCTCCTGCGAAAAACGGGCTTAAAACGGGGAAAAACGATCGGAAATTTGCGGGAAAACATTCTCTGTGATGGGAAAAACGAATGCCCGGAGAAAGCCAGAAAAATCTTTACCCTGACTGCGTAGAGTTCGGTTTTATTTCAGTTTTAGTTTAGTCCAATTGCAAGTGCGGGTGCGAGTGAGACGGAGCGCGTGGCCACGCCAGCGAACTGAGCAAGTCCCTTTAGTTTCTGCCTTGCTTTCGTGTCTTATTCTTGCTCCGCTTGCAATGCGGAGAAAAGGAAGAAAATGTATAGAACGGTTAAAAAACGGCCGAAAAAGTGCAGTTCGTTCGTTTTGTGTGTTTTTTATTAGCAGCCTCCATCTCTTCGTCGTCTGCAATTCCCTCCGTTTCGCAATTCCTCCTCTTCCCATTTTTCGGTAAAAAACTGTTCGGTAGGAAAAAGCGCGCTCCTGGGAGCTCCAGAGAGCGGGAGAGGGGAAAGTGGAAGAGAGAGCGCTCTCTCGCAGTCTCCATCTTTTGGGCGTCTGCAATTCCTTCCTCCTCTTTCAATTTTTCGCTAAAAAACTGTTCGGTAGGAAAAAAGTGCGCTCCTGCGAAAAACGGGCTTAAAACGGGGAAACACGATCGGAAAATTGTGGGAAAACATTCTCTGTGATGGGAAAAGTGAAAGCCCTGAGAAAGCCGGAAAAATCTTTGCCCGGACTGCGTAGAGTTCGGTTTTATTTCAGTTTTAGTTTAGTCCAATTGCAAGTGCGGGTGCGAGTGAGACAGAGCGCGTGGCCAAGCCAGCGAACTGAACAAGTCCCGTTAGTTTCCGCCTTGCTTTCGTGTCTTCTTCTTGCTTTGATCGGCAAGAGCGATGCGGAGGAAACGAGTAAGAAGGAATGTAGAAAACGGGCAAAAAAAGGACGAAAAAGTGCCAGTGATTTTTAAAATAATTTGTAAAAGATGAAGAGAAAAGAAAAATTTATATTTGGACGCCGCAAACAAACGGTGAGTAAAGACAAACTTTGCTTTTTCTCTCTTTCTGTTTTTGTTCTCTTTTGCATATTTTCTTGTTCTCTTGAATATCCTGGAGATCCTGGATCCACATTTATGGATTAGAAATTTCAGGCACAGGGTATAAAAATGAACTAAGCCAAAAATTCATTAATTTGAATTCTGAACCATTTCTGTGTTAGAATTTATAATTGTTTGCTAATTTTAAACATTTTTATACCCTTGCAGGGTATTAAATTTCAGTCAGAAAACAGAAAATTAACTTATTGCTCATATATCGCGAAGTTAAAATACCGATATATAAGTATATCGAACTTTTAGAAGTAAAAAATATAGAACTATAATTAGAAAATATTTTATATATTTTTATATTCTTATTTGAACTGAATATCTGTATTTTGTCATCCTAAATTATCGATCTTTACTTCAAATATCATCCCTGACCCCATTTTTGACATTTACTTCCCTCCCCAATCAAAAGTTCATTAAAAACCCATTTTCCATATATTTAATTGCATAGTCGACGGTCTGACAGCAAAATGTAATACAATATCTTAAACGATATTATTGGTATTTATTTTTTTAAGCCGCAAACTTGCGGTTCAAGTGTTTTTTATCTTTTTATTGCCAACTCAGCTCGAATGTAAAGTGAAAATGGTTAAATTAGAGGTACAACGCTTCTGTTGGACAACTGTCTTGGCAATTTTGAAATTTACACCGCCTTCGAGGGGGCAACGCAACAGGTGGTAAACATTGTTCGGAGATCATTAACTGTTGATTTTGCACTTTTTCAGCCACCAAGCAAGCCGATCGACCGACCAACCAATTTGCGTCATTCAAATCGAACGTGAAATGGCATAAAAGCCGGCTTGGGGGTGTTAAGGGGTTAGGGCAAGTGGTATACACAGATGTAACAGGTGCTTTTCTCCAGTTAATTGCATTAGTTCTACAGATCTAAAGTGTGTATTATGTAGTTGCAGCTGGGTCTGGTCCAGTGAGCTATTATTTGTTATTGAGAACTCTTTTTTTCTTAAGATCCTAATATATTATTTAGGTTTTTTAATTATTTTTTAGCTTTGTTAAGCAAAATATATTTTTTTAAGAATAAAAATCTAGAAAGGCATCTGCAAATAACCCTAAAAATTTAAAATTCCCTGTTTACCTTTAAAAACTGCTAAAATTGAAGGAGAACGTTATCGAAAGCTATTAATTATATTATAAAATACTTATTAATTTTGAAATTTATTTTTAAAAGGGTTTTAATGATTTTAAAATTATATATGAATATTAACCCATCAAATTTATTTAAAAAATTTACTCAATTTATATTATTCACAAAAACTTCCTATTCCCGATAATAATGGAATGGTGTTATATTTCAATTGTTTGAAAGAGAGTTATTTATTTCTCTTTGAAACAATTGAAATTTAAGACCATCCCACCCTCTTCATTTCCAGACTTTTGCTATTAAATTTAGCTTTAAGTCATAAACAATTTTCGCCGGAACAAAAAAACCAACAAAACACAACAGAAATCAAAGTGTCCAACGCCTTTGTCAATAAACATTTGTCGTTCCACGCTAATTGCCAACTTATTTCGCCGCAAACAAACACACTTACAAAACACAAAAATGAGAAAAAATTCAACTGAAACTGAAATCATTTATGGCAAAGTCAATTGAGTTTACCGCCTGCCTTGCCATCTCTTTCTGTGATGTGGGTGCCAGCTTTACGTTGATTATCCAGAGAATACAAAGAGAAAAAAAAACAATAACACCAGATATACATTAACCAACACACACACACATTATACATATAAAACTACAACATTTAATTAAATTAATATTGCTGTTGATGGTCGGTTTGAATCAGGACTTTCAGCTGTTGCTTTCCGGCTTTTTCAGGCTTCAAAAAAGAGTCCGTGATCTTTAGGTGGGGTTTTATTTATATTTATTGTTTTATGTATTTAATTATTTTACAGAAAACATTTTTTTCTTTTATTTTTTATTATTTGTTTTATTTTCCTTAATTCTTCCCTACTATTTAATTCTTTAATTTTCGTCACATTCATCACACCTTTTTTTACGTATAATTTCGGCTAATACCACTCCCTATATACACATATATTTTCCCTTTGCCGGCTTATCACTTTTTGGCCGTGAATCGTATTGATACGGATGTTTATCTTTGATTGTCGGATGCGCAATTTGCGGCTGATAATGATAATGGCAACGCTGCTTATTATCTAAATTTCAATTTCGGTTTACGGTGAGCGGAATAATAAAAGAGAAAACACAGTTAAATAAATGAAGGAAACAACCAACCGAGAGGCATGGAAATTGCTTAATTATTAATGCGCGGAGTGTTGTGTGTGTTTTTGAATTAAATTCGGAATCAGGAATCAGGTTGCGGAATATTCACGGTCACTGTTTTGGCAGTTGAAGGTTTGTATTCGTTTAATTACCAACAACACCGGAAATCGTAAATAAGTTTTCACATTTTTATTTATTTTTCTTATTTTTTATTTAATATTTTGTTTTAGTTTTTAGCTATATCTTTTATATATATTTTTTTATAAACCAACCGTTATTATTTATCCAACGAAAGTCGCAGAAATTTTAAGCAGCCCGCCGTAGGTACCGAACACCTCGAAAGCTAAACATGAAGTGAAAAGCTAGAAAAATATAAACAAAAAAAAAAAAACAGAAAATCAAATGGCCCGCCCAACGATAAATAATAATCGATTATTTTTCCCACAGCTAAGTATTACCCCATAATCATTTATATCTCACAGAGGTGTGGCTACACTGTTTAGTATTTTTCTCTTTCGCTAGTGTGGTCACTCCTGCGTATTGGCAATTGTTTACATTTTTCGGTTTTGCGAATATTTGCGGTTTTTTAATCTTTTTGGGCATGGCCGACGATCCGGATAACTCAGTGGACCGTCCCTCGGACGACGGCGATGCCAGCAAGCCGGAGAAGATGTTCACTTTGAAGAAGTGGAACGCGGTGGCTATGTGGTCGTGGGACGTGGAGTGTGATATTTGTGCTATTTGCCGCGTCCAAGTTATGGGTGAGTTTCCTACTATTATTAACGTTTTTTGGAGCCCTTTAGCGTGTAAGAACTTCTTAATAATAGAGGAATATATGGCACTTAATAATTTGACAAATTAGGGCTGTATGAAGGGGCAGCAAGTGAAACATATTTGCAGCAAAGACAAAGGGAAATGTAAGGTGATACTTTTTCTTAAGGGTAATGGGAATTTTAGAAGAAGTTTGTTTAAGTTTAGTTAATATATTAAAAAATAAATAAAATGAATTTATTAAGTAAAATCTATAGAAAATGTTGTATCCCATATTACATCTTTGACGGAAGAGTATAAATTAGTCACAATTAATTTGAGGCAGACAAAAGTATCAAAAATTCAGTACTACAAAATATTTTATTTACTGAAATTTTATAAACTTAAAATTTGCTCTTAAATGTCTAGAGTTTATAAAAGGTTTTTAAAACTACTAATTTCCGTCACAGAAAATTTTGAACTCACATAATGACAGCTGATCGATAAGGAATCGAACCTATATTATATATATACTTATATATATATATTTATGTTCAGTATATTTATATATAAATATATATATAAATATACTTCGACTCGAATACATATCTCCGAGAGATTCGGAATGAAACTCACTTATCTCACTGCTGACATTCTGCTGTGAGCAAAATAAAGCCGAAAAAAATTGAGTATCCCTTGCAATTTACATGTTGAAGGACAATGGCTTTAGGTTGACCACCGCGGGCAAGCGGCGCATCATTTTCCTTTCAATATCCTCCAGGGTCTTGCCCCGCGTCTCCGGCACAAAGAATATCACAAAGAGCAGGCCGATCACCAAGATGGCCATGAAAAGCCAGAAGGCACCATGGGTGCCTATCAAATCTAAGCAAAAATATATCAAAATTAATATAAAAATTAAGATATACATATTGTAGATCTCAGCTTTACTCACCAATCATGTCCTGGAAGCTCTTGGTCACCACAAAGGTGCAAAACCAGTTGAAGGCCGTGACCAACGAAGCTGCCTGTCCACGGACTTTAGCCGGCAATATTTCGCCCATCATCAACCAAGGTATCGGGCCAAAGCCCAGCGAAAAGCCCATGATATAGATGACAAAGCAGGTCAAGGGCATCCAGCCCAAGGAGCTCACATCCTTGTCATGGGCTTTGGCGTAAAAGAAACCGCCCAAGACGAACAGGGTCAAGACCATGGCTATGTCGGAAACATACAAAAGGATCTAAGGGGAAACAAAGCCATCACATTAAATAATAAATTCTGGATTCTGGATTAACCCACCTTTCTGCCCACTCGATCAACCAGCACCGTGGCCGCTAGCGTGGCAATAAAGTTCACCAACCCCACAATAATTGTGGAAAGATTGCTATCAATGGTGGAGCCTGCATCCTCGAAAATCCTCACCGTGTAATAGATCACCGCATTGATGCCACTCATCTGCTGGAATAACATCAAACCCAAGGAAATGGCCACCGCCTTCAGGTTGTCCCTCTTAAACAGTTCCAGAAAGCCGTTCTTCGCGGCCTGACTGTCAGCTTCCTGCTGAAAGAGCACCAGGGCCTTCAGTTCCTCCTCCACATCCACCTTTTTGCCACGCAGCCAGCTTAAAGCCTTCCTGGCTCGCTCCTCCTTGCCGCGACTCACGTACCAACGCGGCGTCTCCGGTGTGAAAATCATCAGGATCATGAATGGCACTGGCAAAGCAGCTCCCAGGTAGGCCAGCGGTGACCAATTTAAATAAGTGCCCGCCACGTAGCACAACAGGATGCCCATGTTACCAAAAGCAGTGGGAAAAAGTCCCAGAGTGCCACGCACCTCCGGCTGTAAGGCCTCACCGAGGTAAACAGGAAACGCGAGCGAGAGAATGCCCACACAGAATCCGGCCAAGAAACGACCCACCAGAACCATGATTATGTTCACAGCAGTGGCGACCAGTAACCAGCCGATGATGAAGGGCAAGGCGGTGGCCAGGATGGTGTTGCGTCTGCCCAGATACATGATGAGGGGTCCACCGACAATGCCACCGGCCAAACCAGCCAAAGGCATGATGCCACCAACCCAGGAAGCCTGAAAAAATAGGGAGGGGAAATTTGTATTAATTAAATAATATAAATTACACAATTACAATTATTCAACTTTAAATATTTTTCTATTTTCTTAAACATTTTTATGAAAAATCGTTCATTTTTATTTCCACTTACATCTTGTGTGGTGACCGTAAAGTCGGTGATTTTTGGATTGGTCATGGAAACCAAAGCAGGAGATGTATAGGCAGCGGTAAAGCCAATCACTAGAGAGCCCATAGAAACGCTTAGTGTAGCCAAGAGCTATAGGGAAATGACGAAATATATATCTTGGTTAGTGGAGAAAACTAAAACCTAGAATTTCCAGCTTAAAGCACACCTGACGAAAGTTCCAAATCGCCTTGGGCGCATCTTCGGGCACGGCGCAGGACACATGAGTGTCCGCTTGCAAAAGGATCTTCATGATGCGTCGGTTGTCTGTGATGTATCTCCAAATGGTGCCGTGTTTTTTGGTTGCTATTGCTAAAATTTGGAATTTGTTTTGTTGCTTGACTTCAGTTTGAAATTCAACTGAAGCTTGACATTTATCTGGAATTGAATTTGATTTTTTTTTTTTTTTTTTAGAACAAGTATTATTTACTACAGAAAGGGTTAATTCATGAAAATAAATCAAATTAAAATTAACTGTGAAATGCGTTCTTTCTACATTGTTTCCATTAGTCTATTTATAAACCCAATTTCCCAATCCCATACTGTCAAAACCAGATGGTAACAAAAAACCAATTAGTCGAACGTCACCAGAGATGATACCCCAGATAGTATTACCTATCAATGAGTGTAATCCCTGATTTACTATATAAAAACCAAGTAAATAGTGTCACATAATCGAATGCACGGATGCATTCATCTTTCGTAACTGTTTATTCGATTTTGAACTCACATAATGACGGCAGAGAGAGATAAGGTAACGAATCTGAAACCCAACTCATGTAATGCCTGCCTTCTCGGCATCGATCTCTTATCGTTCCAATCGCTGCCGACAGTGCAAATGCGTTTCTATTTTTGCATTTTCATGTGCCTCTGGAATGTCCATCTATATACTATATATAAAAATATATTTCGAGTGGAAAATGTCCCCGACAGAATTGGAATGAAACTCACGTATCTCGCCGCTGACATTCGCAACTGTAAAAATAATGACCGAGAAGGTCGTCATATGCAAAGCCGAAAAGAAAAAGTAGTAACTGTTTGCAATTTGGTGTGGTTTTGTATTTTTAAATAGTATTTCTTGGTTTTTTTGTTTAGTCTACATATAGATACACTTACTTGCTTAGGTATATAGTAAAATATATATAGATATAGATATATTCGATACATATAGCCAAATTGGTGTGTAATTTATATCAGGGGAGAGATTTTTGGATTAACTACAACTAGGTTTTATGTCATTTCTCGTGTGTTTTTCTTAGTTTTTGTTTCTTTTTACACCAATAAATTCACGCAACAATTAGTGCTAAAAATCATAATTTACATAATAAAACTATGCACTTAATGATTATTAAATAATAATAATAATAATAATTAACAAGTTATGCGTGTAGAAAGGAAATTCTTTTTTTTCCGCTAGGACTAACAATATCAGAGCGTCCTGCTCTCTCTCTTAAGCACTAAAAGGCACTAAAGTCTAGTATTTGGTATTTGATCGCTATTTCAAATCCTTTCTTGGACATGCTGTTTACATGTTGAAGGACAATGGCTTGATGTTGGCCACCGAGGACATGCGGCGCACACGGCCCATCATTTTCCTTTCAATATCCTCCAGGGTCTTGCCCTGCGTCTCGGGCACATAGATTATCACAAAGAACAGGCCGACAAAGCAAATGGCCCCAAAAAGCCAGAAGGCACCATGGGCGCCCATGAAATCTAATTTAAAAAATATTAAAATTAATATAAAAATCTATAAAGATATTGTAGAACTTTGATTTACTTACCTATCATGTCCTGGAAAGTCTTGGTCACCACAAAGGTGCAGGACCAGTTAAAGGCCGTGGCCACCGAGGCTGCCGAGCCACGGATCTTGGCTGGCAAAATCTCGCCCATCATGAGCCAGGGAATAGGACCGAAACCCAGGGAGAAGCCCAAGATATAAATGACAAAGCAGCTTAGAGGCAGCCAGCCCAAGTGGCTGACATCAGTGCCATTGGCCTTGCAGTAAAAGAAGCCGCCCAAGACGAACAGGGTCAAGATCATGGCTATGTTGGAGACATACAAAAGGATCTGCAAGATAAAGAAACCAAAAGTTAGCAAGAGATTTATATATAAAATATCTTATAAACCCACCTTTCTGCCCGCTCGATCAATCAGCAGCGTTGCTATAAACGTGGCCATAAAGTTGACAATTCCCACAATAATTGTGCACACATTGCCATCAATGGTGGAGCCTGCATCCTTAAAAATCTGCACCGTGTAAAAGATCACCGCATTGATGCCGCTCATCTGCTGGAAGAACATCAAACCCAAGGAAATCGACAGCGGCTTCAGGTTGTTCCTCTTCAGCAGCTCCAACATGGTGTTCTGCGTGGCCTGACGATCGGCATCTGCCTGAGACCTCATCAGACCCTTCAACTCTGGCTCTACATCTGCCTCCTTGCCGCGCAGCCAAACTAAAGCCTTCCTGGCCCGCTCCTCCCGGCCGCGACTCACAAACCAACGCGGTGTCTCCGGTATGAGGAACATCAAAACCAAGAAAGGCACCGGCAGCGAAGCTCCCAGATAGGCCAGCATGGACCAGTCTATATAAGTGCCCGCAACGAAGCACAACAGGATGCCAATGTTACCAAAAGCCGTGGGCAAAAGTCCTAGAGTGCCGCGCACTTCTGGCTGTACGGTTTCACCCAGATAAACGGGCAGCGAGAGCGAGGCAATGCCCACACAGAAACCAGCCAGGAAACGACCCGCCAAGACCATGGCTATGTTCACCGCACAGGCAATCAGTAGCCAGGATACAATGAAGGGCACAGCGGTGGCCAGGATGGTATTACGTCTGCCCAGATACTCGATGAAGGGTCCGCCGGCAATGCCACCAGCCAAGCCAGCCAAAGGCATGATGCCACCAACCCAGGAAGCCTGTAAAAATAGGGAAAGGAGGTGGATTATTAATAAATTAAAATAATAAATAGGTTTTGGGGGAGTAAGAAAAATATTTAGGAAATAGATGATATATTATTTTCACAACTCTATCTGCTAATTCTCTAAGAAAAACTCGAAACAAAGACCTCTAGAAGTCATAAACTCCACAATAATATTTGATTTAATGTCATATTTACTTTAAAGATAAGAATTTATAAGGGAAAAAGTGAACAAAGACTTTAAATTAATGTACTTTAAATTGTTTTCGTTTCTCTGAGTATTTTACTTAATATATTTTTTTTATTCTCCACTCTCTATATATTTTTATGAACTATTTTTCCATTTTATTTGCATTTGGCATTTATACTTACAGCTTGTGGGGTGACCGTAAAGTCGGTGATATTTGGATTGGTCATGGAAACCAAAGCAGGAGAAGTATAGGCACTGACAAAGCCAACCACTAGGGAGCCCAAAGAAACGCTCAAAGCAGCCAGGACCTGTAACAGGATAAAGAATATGATCAATTTATTAGTAAAAAATTTAAAAATTATACATTTTAAAGACGAAATTGAAGGGGCTTTTTTGAGGAATTTTAAAGGGAAAATTTAAGAGGTTTTTTGCTAAAGCCCGACCTGAGATAAGGTACAAATCGCCTTGGGCTCCTCCACGGGCACTGAGAAGGACACATGAGTGTCCGCTCGCATTAGGATCTTCATGATGCTATGTTTATTTCTGATTTAGCTCCAATGGGTGACCGTTTTAGGTTGCGAGGTTCCCTTTCACTTTGCTCCTTGGCACCGGAGGAGATTTGCTTTTCAGCGTTCGCTTGTCGCTCGTCCAAACTCAACTGAAACTTGTCATTATGACCGAGTGCAGCAGCAGTTGCATTTTCGTTAGCTTTTTTCGAATTGATTTGTGTTTTTTTTTGTATTTGTTGTTTTTGAGAACAGTTTTAGGCACGTACTGATCGACGATCGATCGCTATCGCTTAAATAGTATTCAGGGGATTGAGACTCGGCTGCGGATTCTATAGAAGATACTGTTCCCAACAGCCTTATCAGTCAAGAACAAAGAGCAAGTTCCCTTGGAGGAGTAAAGCGGTTTGAGGCTGTCTTGGCCAGTTCAAAGGCAAAAATGCAACTGTTTCAGGCAGGAAAATGCAGCCAGGTCCTGCGTGAAGCTCTATCGATAAAGGTTCCCCTTGCCTATCCATCATCACATATTGTATTTTTAGTTCAGCCCAATAAATAAATGCTTTAATTTCAATTAAGGCAAAAGCGGACTCAAACGCGTGCGAAAATAGCTCAAATGCGTAGGTCTAACACACAATCTGTTGGCTTTATAACTTGCTCAACTGAGTATTGCCTGCCTCTGGCTTTATGGTCGCATTAATGCCATTCATAATAATACATCACTACTACGCAGAGAGGCGCCAACTGGCTGGGCCTAACGAGGGGACAATACGAGTGCTCCTCCCTTGAAATATATATATATTTGAATGTATGACCCACCTGTGTCCATATGTAGATGGGATTCGTGGTGGGACGATAGACCTCCAGCTTGGGCTTGCCATCCTCGGTTATCTGGCGCACGAAGGGCACCGCGTGTCGGATATTCCCCTCCCTCTTGTTGCCCATCTCGTCCATCTCGTACAGTCGCCGGCTGAGAAGAAGAAAAAGGTGTCAATGTTGGATTATATTATTATTATTATATTGAAGTAAGGTTGCTAACACTCATCTATTGTCCAGTCTAACTCATATTGCGTAGGCGTCGGGCTTAGCTTGACTTAACCGGAGATACTATTACTATATAGATGATCATCACTCAAAATAGTCATGGGACGGGGATTCCAATTTGTGTCACACTTGTCTGATTTTCTTTCTTCTTTTAAATTGATCAAAAGCGAAAAGTGCGCAAAAAGCTTGTGAGGAATTGTGAAGAATACGCTCAAAATGAGTCTATTAAGATCTAAGTCTGCTGACTGGGATTTTATTTCTGGATTAGCTTGGTATTTATTAGTAATTGTAATAATTAAATATGTTTTCAGTAGAATTCTACGTTTTTAGACCAGTTTTATAGGTTTTCAAGCTAGAAGAAGGGCTTGCGGAACAGTATAAAAATTGAAAGCCTTTTTAAAATAAATTAAGTTAGACAAAAAAATTTTTAAATCAGCTATAAAATCTTGTTCAATATTAACTTAATCTAAGTATTTTATTTTAGGGTATTTCCTTCAAAAATATATTTAAAAAATTGTTTAAACTAATATTTTACTTATTTTGTAAGGTCAATATTTGCTCAGATTTCGTAAACAACAACAAAAAATTCAATATAATAATATTTTCCGATAAAATAAAAATAATTAATTTTTTATTGAATTGCAACGTTAAAGTGATCTTGATTTTTTTACCATCTCTAATTTTATGCCATATTTTCTTAAAACTTTACCAACTATTTTTAAA